TTGATGATACGTCGTATTTTTTGCAAATTGGACAAATGGTAATGCTTCTGACCATTCTGTAGTGTCATTATCTTCCATCATAGCTCTCAGTATATTTTGGAAATCTTGGTTTGCCCTTTCGATGGAACCTTGCGTTTGGCTGTGACGTGGTTTACCATGCAAAATTTTCACACCATACCACATTGAACACAGCTCTGATATAACTTTATTTACGATCTCTCGTCCATTGTCGGAATGTAAAATATTTGGCGCTCCGAAAATAAGAAATATATTTAATAAGTGATGTGCAACTTCTTCTGCAGTTTTAGATTTTAAACGTATTAATTGAATACATTTGGTTTGGTGATCCTGATAATTTAATATAAATTTAAATTCACCATCTTTGCAAGTTTGTATATCTACCCCTAAGTCTACTTGACACCGGAAATTAAGTTCACGACTTATAATAGGTTTGATTACAATACCTTTTTTCGGAACTTTTTGTTTGGTTTGGCATTGAACACATAAACTTAAAAATAACATGACAACTTCATATGTTATATTTTTGAATTTGTTCTGCAATTCGTTCATCATTCTGGTTCGCCCTCCATGACCATTTTTTATACGAGCTTCGTACATAATGTCGTATAGTTCTTCGWTCTTTACATAGTAAATAATCTTAGTTTCACCTGCTTTTAACGGGATGATTAGTTTATGATTAACCATAATATCCATAACRTCAAATCGATTTAATCGCCTGTAATCACTTCGCTGTTTATTTTTTTTTGCTTTAGCATTTAAAACTTCACTTATATATTTATTATATTTTTCAGTGCTTAAATAAAAACATTTATCTTCCCTTTTTTTAAAAATAAAAGTGCACTAAACTTTTCATAAAAAATATCTGTTTTACTTTTATCCATAATTAGTTTTAATTCGAATATAATATTAATAAAATATTACACTAAGGCTCGTTGTATTACACTAGACTGTTGAGCTCGGTTTATAATTAACGTCGATACTGACGAGGGTATATTTATATTTTATTATCTAGCAAACGATTGACAATCGGATTGTCTCATGCGACAACATTACTAACGTTCAAACGTCTCCATGCATATTGTGGCTTGGCAATAACATCTTAATTTTACAAAATAATACAAAAATACCTTTTACATACATTGCTTYAAGTGTGGTCAACATTTACCAAACACTGACTGTAAATGTCAACAATCACCGGTGTATGAACGCATTATGATAATTTCGTCAACATTCACTACGGATTTTGGTATATGTCAACCTACACCGGTGACTGTCAACATTCGCCTACCGCGGTCATACACCTTAACATATCTAGTTACAAGTTTAAGAACATAATTAGTGATTAAATATCTGAAATATTCTCGTTTAGAATTTTCGGAAAACGAATAATTAATAATTTTTTAACATGGTAATTAATTCTTGTTTAAAAATGATGAATTCCTGTCATTTGAAATTTTTATTTCTGTTTTAATTAATTTCTTACTTATTTATAATAGTCAAAGTACAATAATTTATATTTAAATTTAATAATACAGTTTCACTGTTTATTTATTGGAGTTTCTTATAGCAGTATTAAAATCATAAACAATTTTCTTAAATCAATAATTTTTAGAAAATGTGAGCTTAATTATAAAAAAAAAAAACTGAAACACTATTACGTATAATAAATAATAATATATTATGTATAATTATTATATTAAGTAATTTATTTAAATATTCAATGAAATCTTTACAACTTCAAAGCGTGTAACAGGATTTAATTGACTAAGAAAAATGCATAATTCAAAATCTTGTAGAAATAATAATAATTGTGCCTTATTTTCGTTAACGATATAGTATACTATGTTTTCGGACTGCTAAGGCCTATATTTTTCATCGGAAAAATCGCAAAAAAATATTTTTCATTTTCTTAGATTGTAGTTGAATATAAATACGCTTCGTTGGTTTTTAAATTTTTAGAAGCCACAGTCGTCCACATGTCATCACTACTGATTTTTTTTTTATACAGTTCTAAGCTCATTACAACAAACCACATTACCTAGGTACCTCAATAATCTTTTTTCCGTTACATTAATCTTCGTTTGAACTTTCTTGTAAATATTTTAAATCACAACTATAGTTTCACAACCTTCATTTAATATTTATCACATTATGCGATATGTATCCTTATTTTTTCAACTAAATACTGTAGTCACAGCGTTTCGTTAAATTCCTTCATTTTATTTTGTTCATTACATCCTTCGCATTCCGCAAAATTACTTTTCCCATGTCATAGTTGAGAATTTGAACTCAACCGCCTTATTTGGTATTTTATTTTACACTCAACCCTCATTGTGTATTTGTAGTTTAATCTGTTGTTGTATTTCCCGCGAAAAGTTCATTGTTACACACAGGCTCGTACTGCAGGCAACTACAACGGGGTGGTTGCAAACAAATTTAATAGCGTTGATTTTTTTATTTAATTYTATAGTCTATAACTTATAAGTAAAGGTCCATTAGGATTCGCGTGGGCCACTGTAATTAAGTTGTTAAATTCGAATTCAATGTTATTAACATTATGTTGATATCATTAACCACTATACACGAAAAACAGTTCTGAGCGTAGACGGTCTGTTAGTCAGCTTGTACGTTATAAGAATAATTAATATTAGGTTTTAAGCCAAGGTATCTGTATGAACTATTGATTAGAAAACTTGTTTTACATTTTAAACCTTTTTTCTATAAAAACTTAAAATTTTAGAAATTTGTAACTACAAAAAATTTCGAGATTTTGATGAACTTTATCAAATTTCGATCTTAAAATACTTATAATTACAGAAATCATGCTTTTGTATCTTTAATATTTTTTATAATTGCTAATAACAACTGGTGAGGAACCCTGTATAAAATTTCAAAACTTTCTAATCCAATGAAAAATTGTTTTTAATGTTAAAATAATTTAAAAAACTTTAAAGTAAATAGTTGCTCAAGACGATGTAAAATATTCTAAAAATTGTATCATGTTAACTAATAAACATTTAATGAAAATTTTAAATATCTACGACTATTAGTTATGGAATCTCTAAAAAACGAGAAGATCATTTAATCATTTGATAAGAATCGTAAAATGTATAGTAGAATATTTGATATTAGCCTGTTACAAATATTTTGAGATTGTACATTTTTTGTACATCTTAAAATACTTATAACTCACTTCAAAACAAACAGCGCCGGTGGGAGGTTTTGCGGGGGCAGATTTTTTTTCATGGGCCCGAGACATTTTTTTTTTTTTTGTTAGGGAAAACAAATTTCCTTCGCACGTCCTAGTACTTGTAGGTTAAGTTATATAAAAATCAATCTACAAGTCGCAACTGCAGACGTCAGACAGGACTTGTATTTTTAACTTGAAAAACAAAATTATGAGCTTAAAATAGTAAACAAATTATTTATTGGCAAGGCAACTAATTTGAGTCATTACGACATTGAATTGGGAATAATCAAATAAATAATATGATAACACGAAGGTTGTAAAATTCAAAATTAACCATTACTCATATGATAAAAAATTAATTGGTGCTAATAATAGTGCATTTTACTCCTCTATCTACCATAAACCATTAGGATTATTTGATAATCAAAAATACAATATTAAATGCTTTATCGTTTTATAATTCATAAAAATGTTAAAAATATCTTAGSTATACATTGTTCTAGATTTCATTCATAGGTTTGATAAAAATATATATACCTACTATTTTTTGTATTTAATTGAATTTTTCGTTCTTTTCACTATAGTTTTATCGTAATATAGTAGTTAATAGTTAGTTCTTTAGTTCTTTTATTACAGTTATTTAGCCGATATCCAGACGATAACACAATTACATAATAAATAATACATTTTAATTACTGAATAATATATTATTTATGACGTAATATCGTAAACGAGCTTGTTTTAAACATAATTTAAACAAAATACACTTTAGTTAATTTAGTATAACCGATAAAATTCTTGTTTAAAATGTATTTTATATGATGTATGTGATGAGCCGTAACGCACTGCAAGAATATAATGATATTATACCTAATAAATTATGACATTTTTAAATTTAATTAATTGGTGTAAAATAAATTCATAATATTAAAATAAAAAATAAAAACATTATTATATTTTGTAACATGCAATTAGAGTTTTCATTGTGTTGATATTTCCAATTATGTTTTTCCCCGTATAATTATATAATAATATATATACATGTAATAGGTCTATTGATTTTTTCATCACTAATACAATATCAAGTACATTTGATACTTTTTATTTATTAAAAAGATTTAATATGAAGCTTTAGTCAATACTTGTTGTTTTTTTTTATCATTATTTATATTAATACTCAATAATAAATACAATTTTAGTGTTTTTATTTTGAATAATTTAATCTATGGGGTATTTCACAATAAAAAAGAAGGAAATTAATTACAGAAAATTAGTAAATAATTGTAAACATGATATTTGGTGATTGCTCTTCTTTAATTCAATTGATATTAAATATAATTTTTTTAATAAAAAAAAAAAATATGAAATAAATGATTATTATATTTTTGAATCATATTAAAAGAAAAATGTCAGCCACAGTTTTGTAAAACGATTTTAATATCTCTCAGAGCGAATGTTTTAATAGTTTGTAATGTATTAAAAAGCTGGAAACGTTTCTTTAGAATTTAAACCAGACCACAAATTTAATTCAGTTCTTTATACTAATATGGGATATGCATTTTATAATTTCAATTAAGAATGTTACAGAAAAATAAAGAGAGATATTAATTTGAAATTATTTTTTATTATTCTATTTTTCCACGAGATACATTTGCATGAGAAGTCAGTTAGATAATACCTATTCAATATACTTAAGAATATATTGTGTGTATTATAATGTTTAAAACATTATATTTTTCGTTTTTTTAATAAATGTTTATTTGTTGTCAGTGTTTTTGTTTAGGTAATAACTGTTTGGTAAATAGTTTGTTCAGTGTAATAAAATATATATTATATAATATATACAATAAATATTAAATGTTTACATTACTTATTACAAATACAAACTTTTTTTGTTCCATTTTTTTTCACATTATTTTCGTTCTGTTTTTCAAGTAGGACATGTTGAAATTCGACGTTATTTTGGGGTGTTTTTTAAGCGCATTCAATGCTCGAATACCACGTTTATTTAATATAAAAATAAAATACAAACAATGTTTTTATTTCAGAACTCATTGCTTGTCCTGTTGTGTCAGAAAATGCATGGAACTTTAGTTGATTTACATTAATAATATTGTCGTGTTGTTAGTAATTTTTCGGTTATTGGGGGAAAAAGGTTTTGTAATATTAATAATTTAATACAAGATATAGGTACCTAGTAGAAGTGATATCGATGATGGTGGATTTATAAATATCGGCCAAATTCAGGTATAATAAAAATAATATGATTATATTATAATTATTGAAATAATTGATTTTTAATAACTACTTAGGATAATAACATTAATGGGAATATTATGATAATAGCTTGCAAAAACTTTGAAAACATTCATGTTTAAAAAAAAAAAAAAAAAATTTTTCATGTTTTTAAAACATTTTTCATTGACTTACAAATTATAAAAATTTCTTAGATGATTAATACATAAATCGAATCGTATTTAAATAAACTTGTGTGTATAAAACCAGTAACACTTTTATAGCTGTTGTAGAGCGATTAATGTATTATAAGTTATTAGTTCAGATTTCGGGTTAATAGCATTATACTTATATTTGATTTAAAAGTCAAATCATGTCGTATAATATATAAGGTACACTCACCAGAAGGATATTATACGGCAGCCAACAAACCGTGAACGCTATGACCACGGTGACCATCATTTTTATCATCTGAAAAAATCGAAAACAATATTGACAGTTTTGGAAACCGCGACTTGTCGGAAGCGTTACTTTTCTCTTCGACTTGGCCATCCTGACGTCTCTGGAGTTTTGCGCCTCGCCCGGAGTCCTTTTGCCCCATACCACCACACCGATGTTGACATATGTAAATAGTAAAACGGCGAATGGTATGCAATACTGAAGCACCAACAAAGCCACATTATAATAATGTCGGACGTTCTCACTTGGCCATTTCTCGTTGCAAATATAGAATCCGCATTCCTATAAAACAGCCATTGATATAAATAACTGATCGATAGAGTACTGCTGAATCGGCATGGATGTAAATGACAATGAATATGATTTACACAGAACATCACGAAATGGAATAATTTACGGTAAAAAAAAAAATATATATATAAATAACATGATCGGCCTGATTCGCAAACATCTGATAACTCTGCAATGATCAATTTTTAGGAAAAATAAAACATCTTATTAGTTAAGATTCTAGAATACATCATAATGTATTTTCATCTAATATCAATAATTCAATACATAAATAATATTGTAATATTTTGTTTTTGACAAATAATATTTTATAAAAAGTTATATAGAGGTGCAAYAATGATTTATCATGGTCGGAGTTGAGATAATTTTGTCGGGACTTTAAAGGCTGAAATTTTGTTTTCAGAGTGAAGATGGTTTTAAACAATGAGTTCCTTTTTTTTTGAAAATAAAAAGCAGTGATCTTAAAATCATCGCTTTGAAGATTTATGATAATTGCGAACCAGTCCGAAGATGTAATGTACTGTTAACTGTCAAATGATTTCATATTTTTTCAAGCTTTTACGCAAAACGTGGCAGAAGTCAGKCAGTATAAAGRCACCTTATATTAGTCTTGTGTTATAATATATTGTTGTTAATATTTAAAAGATATATTATATATACATATATATAATATAATATACATATAATATATATAATATAATATACATATAATATATATATAGTATATAACGAATTAATTGTTTTAGAAAAAACATTTTTAACAATAGTATATATCGTCTTTATTATAACGGTGTTGTGTTATTATTGTTTGGAGAATTTGAAGTTTTCGCTTGATCTAAAAACTAATACGAAAAACTATTGTTTTCGTCCCGAGCTTGTACAGAACTTTCATTGAGAAACTTACAATATATCTTTGTCATATAGATACGTCGGTTAATAGACGGGCGGGTAGTGTGAAAAGTTATTTGTCAAAAAAAAAGTATAATAGAGCTTACTTTCCCAATAATATCACTTTTTGAAAACGCATACTTTTATGTTTTATTTTTTTCTCCACAATTTTCAACCGAGTTGTTACTATACTTATTTAACTTATCAAAATGTATTTCAAAACTTATGTATATATATATATATATATATAAATTGATGAGATTTTATATTTTAAAACTCGAGGTCTGTGTACAACATTATTTGTTTATATTTCGTTTGGTACAATTAATTTAGTCTCCATTTTCATAATACCTTCGAAAAAGCTTATTAATTTCTTCTGATTTAGCTCGAATACGTACGTACGTATTAGTATTGGAAGATTGATTTAAGAAAAAAATCATTCTTCAAAAAATCCGAACACATTAGTCTGATGATGATAATAATAATAATATGATAAGATAATAACCTGATGCCAATACGACGGCTGTTCCAATGTCGTAACCAGGAGGATCGGAAAAGCTGTAATCACGGCCACAGTCCAGACTAATGCTATTATGTATTTGGCTTGATGTCTGCTGGCTCTTGGTTTCAGTGGCCACATAATTGCAATGTACCTGTCGACGCTAATTGCCACCAGCGTGTATGCACTCACCTGTACGAAACACGGCGGTACGCCATCATTATTAATTGAGCAATAGTTAATGTTTGAATAGTCATTGGGTATGTTCTATTTTACGACAAGTCAAGTTGATTTATCTTGAACCGTTATTATAGATAAACGCTAAGCGACTGAAACGTCGAATGGGGCAGCTGACATTCGTTACTGCACCGTTTCGAATAAACGTTTTTCTTTATTTTACAATGAAAATAAATATTATTATGTTATAAGTGTTCTGTGAGAAATAAATCGTAAATTAACCGTGTTAATAACAGCGTAAATAATATTTATCACTTCAAAGTTGAACAAAACACGAATCATCAATGATTAGCTATCATATCGCTGGTTGCAACAGTATTTTGACAGTACTTTTTACAATTAATAGCTTTTTGAAATCATTACTCTAATTTATAATATCGTTTTAGTTTTTTTTTCCATACAACAAAAATTTTATTCAGAACAATTCACGTTTTATTTTTCAGATTAAAAATAACACAATTATGATTTATAATTTATGAACATGCGTGTAACGTCTTCGATTAATTTAATTTTAGATGAACAATGTTTAAGTCGAAACGTTAAAAATTGCTACAGATTGGAACTCATGACAAATGAAAGTTCTACGTTGAAGTTTTGGAATTTCAACTTTATTTTTTCAATAAGAAATCGTTCAAGATTATGTCAAAGTGTTTAAATGTGCGTTTTGGTAAAATGTAAAATAAGTAAGTTATAGACTTATAAATATTGAATTATTATATTATTTACGTAATAAATTATACATTTTTTAGGACGTTATAAAATTATGAATTTTCATTAATGGATTTTTTTTTCGGTTAGTTAGTTTGAAATTTTCCTTTTTGAATAAGTATCTGCAAATTCAATAAATGCTTTATTGTCATCATCATGGTTGTTTTTACAGAATTATTTCAAAAATCTCGACTTTATTTTTTAAATACGACAGTTTTTTAAATTAAAAATGATTAAGAAACTCTAGCTTTCGCCATCGTGAATGATGCAAATCAAGTGATTGACAATCAACCGTGCTATGTATACTTTGTATTCTGTTTTTATCAACCAACGTGATTATTTTTATTTTTGAATATTTTTATCAAATATCCTAAGATTGTATGACACGCCCTGTCTTTAATGTACTCAGAGTCTGAAATGTTAGAGTATTATAACCGGAAACACTCTAAGCCTTAGAGTCTAAGGATATACTCGTAATGCTTAAATTTTCATTAAGGGTTAATGTGTTTGAACTGTACATGTTAGTTTAAAATGTAAACTGTAAGCTGTCAAATAGTTCAAAATTGTGATTCGTATTATTAATGCTTATTGAATGTGGTTATTTTCAAGGCATACATAATAGAGAGTTGCCTATAATATGGTTTTATGCTGTGTTTATTTTAATAAATTGATGTTATACGTAACAATCGTTTTTTAATTTTGTTTTTTCACTTTGTTAGCGTATACCGACTATTTTAATAGTTTTAATAAAAAGGATTTTTTGATGAAAGTCATTTTGCTATTCTGCAAAATTTTCTATGAAAATCTACCTTTCAAGTTTTAGCTATATGTCCTCCTACTGAAGTAAACGTAAAGGATCGCACACGATTGATTAATGATAATTTAAAAATGAAAGTTCTACAATGAAACATATTTTGAGATATGTTAAAACAAAAAAGATGTTTTATTTCATCATCATTACATAAAGTCAACATTGGTCGTTTTGAAAGTCACACGGCAGTGGTGTATCAATTTTGCCTATACAGCACGCCGTCATAAAAAATATGAAAAAAATCGAATAACTTCCTTCAGTTTATTACTGCAGTGGTTACCGTTAAGGTAATCACTTTGATACTTGAAAAAATGGATAACATAAAGATAAAGTGAATGATAATATTAAATGAAAATTAATACATGTATGTAGTACAGCCAGTACTTATATTTTTCGATAATTATGTACAATTAATAACATTAACTGTGATTATAATAAGCGTCGACCATTGTATTTGATTATATACTGAAGCAGTCTTGTAAAATAAACTTTTTAAAATTATTTTAGTACCTACTGACACAGATAATCATTTTGAGCAGTTTGAATACTCAGTAAAAAGTATTTATGTACAAATGCAAAAACTTTAAAATATTATCAATATTTTTACAAAACATTTTTTCCCATTAATTAATCTACTAAATAATTTTTTTCTAATTTTCATATCTTTCAATCTTTTAATAGAGATAATTGTATGCCGTTTAATTTTGCGTATCTGTGAATTGCTCATCGGTATTTTTTGTATAGGTATTTTGATGGTCGATTAGGTTTAATTCATATGTGAAAAATAAATATCATTAAATACGAATATTATGTATTTTAAATATTTAACGAGATTGAATTGAAAGAAACTGAGAAGGAAAATTATTTGATTTTTATTCAGAAATTCTGAAAAAATATTTAAAATACTTTTACACTCAAGTATAATACCTCTATTATATAACTTTCAAGGCTGGATAATATATTATACATACATCGTCGTCACATTAATTATAGTTTCGGTGTTTGATATTCAACGTGCCCTATCGTTTTATATGCATACGTGATATTTTGACGGGACTTGGCGTGTTAGYAACTAGGAATTTCGCTGCTTATCAGATTTCGGTTAACAGAGGTATCTCTTTACGTAAAATCATATCGATAATGTGGAACCACGCCAGATGAAGTCTATCTAAACGTGATATTTCGTACACATTATATTTGCAGAGCTAATGGAGTTAAGTCTATATAATGCATATGAATTAATGCACATCACTAAGCCCGTAGATATTGTGCTTCTTTCGTATCAATTACGCCGTGCTTGTCAAGGCTCTTACGTTTTTGACATTCGACACAGTGGCATGATAGTCGTAGCTGGTACCTTTTACGATTGGTATAAAATATATGTTATAATATTCTAACGTCACACAAAACCTTTAACTGAGATCGGTCGGAGCCGAGGATTACACTGATTTATTGGTTATTGTATGGAAGTAATTTTTTGTTTTATATTTTGTTGTATTTTCCAGTTATACCACGTCGAGAAACGCGATTCGTATTATAAGTGTAAAACAAAGCGTGCGCTTGTAAATGGCCAATTTGACAGTGGTGAAAAAGAAAACCATAACAGAGTAAAAACAAGGAATTTCTATGCCATAACGATATTATCATCAGTACGATAACACAAACATACATGTAGGATTTGTCACGTCATGTCAGCACGAAATTCGTTGTTTTCACCGACATACATACACATAATATCTATTATATTTTATGGGTACGAACAGGCATAATACTGACACGTGTGCTTGCTGACGTCGTTTCCACGCTTTAAATCACCGAAACAAATATTATTATTATTATTATTATTATTGCTACGACGTGGATATCCTTTTGCGCCGCGAATATCCTTTTCCATCGCCGCCACGATGTCTCCGGGTATTATTGTTCTTTCGATCTAGTATTCCGCTCGAATGGGGTCATGACGATGAGAGTGCGCCACCGTCTTCATCTGTCGACTTATCATTTCGATCTTTATACGTTATAATATTAGTTTATTGTTTTGTATATGCGCGAAAACCTTAAACCACAAAAGTCCATCGACGGCACGGTAGGTACACTGTTTGGTTCGTATTATATTATATTATGTGCACAGTCATATTGTTATACGGACTTGCTTAACTTTGGACGAGGATGTCGATTTTCCACTCCACCGCCGGACGCCACAAGGTCCCACCGAATGAAAAGCTGTGATATCGAAGGCCATATATATCATGAACACATGCGCGTTGTCCCCTAATCTTCCGAACATACTGCAACGTGGAAAATATATTTTGTGTTCAGTATTTCTGATGCTGCGCGGTGACCTTCGTAATAATAGAGAAAATTGGCCGTCTAGCATCAAAATGAAACGTATTGTCATGTACCCAACACTACGTCCAACTTAGAATAAAGATAGTCTTTATATTAGCTATAATAGATAGATTATAATAATAGATAGGACAGACGTTGGTATGTAGGCGTCTAATCTCTTTTTTGCTTATATGCGACAGGGTCACTATAAATCGGTCTTGTCAACTGTTAAGTCTAGTGACCGACTCATTCGAGTTATGTAGTGTGCTTACACAGGATAAATTGTTAGGATAGTTTAAAGAGTCAATAAAGTACATATATTATTATGTTAATTTAAAGTGTATTTTCTTTTCTAGACAATCGCTTAATACCTATACGAAAAATCATTTGGTTTTCAGTTTTTCACCTACTACAGAGAGCGGAACAAATAAGAATTATCGTCTTACGGATATAACTGAAGACACAATATAAAAACATAACGCAGCATCACTGTCCATAAATCATGTTGCTCATAACAGTATGGACATCATCGACAGTGCACACAGTATGTGGTTTTTAACGATATTTTAACCAAGTCAAAAGTCATCGTCATACCTATGTAAAATATTACAATATATTTTAGAAATCGGCATAACCCACGTAAAAGCACAGATAGTGTTTTCACTCGATTAAATATTTTTGATAATGGATCGAAGATTCTCTCTGTATTTTATTGCCAAAAGTTATTGCACGAAATCGGAACTGCACAATTTTGCTTCTTACGTGTCGTATACGTGCAAAAGACGGAGATGACACAATATGTGGGCTTGGCGTCCCCTTAAAAGTACCTATATATTATTATTATTATTATCGTTACCGTACCGTCGTCATTGTCCAAATGGTATGAAAAAAAGTGGGTGAAAACAGTGCATAATTATTGCGTTGCCTTTGTCACCTCGAGTCGACGCGTTTTTTTCGGATGTCCTCCGCGCACCGTGTTCTATTGTTCATGGTCGCCATAATAAGCAGCACCGCTGATCAGACGAATAAAGGCTTAGCGTGCACCCGCACAATGATATTATGCACCGAATGAATGAAAACATTCTATTTATCACAATTTCCGTAAGCA